TTCCCTGGCGACCTTCCGCCTGACGCCGCCGCCTCCTCAGACAGCGACGCGTGGGGCAGGGCTCCGCCGCTCCGCCAGGCGTCGGTGGCGACGACGCGAAGACGGGGTACGTGGCTTCTTGCGGCGCGTTCGTGAATGTGCCTGGGTTTCCGCTGCTGTCCACCAAGAAGCCGAGGGCCCGCGGAGGCAACGTCGTCGGCAATGCGGTCTGAGATCTCCCGCTTCTACTCCGTGGACATGGCGCGCATCGAAGCGAATCCCGGGCCATCCTCGAAAAAGGGTGGCTTTTCCCATGAGCAATGCTGGGGCGAAGAGCTGCGTGTCAAGCGCGAGCGGGGCCGCGTGTCTTCAGCGACCGCGCTAGCGACTTACTCATCTTCGTGCTCGGCGGGTCTCAAAACAGTCCGCGCCGATCAAGAGCGAGGACGTCGGGGGCGCCTCCGTAAGTATCGCAGTGAGGCTGTCGCGGAAGATGGTCGATCATGAGGCCCATGACATTGCCGCGTTGAAGGCGGAGATTGTTGCGAGCCTCAGCTCGCTTCAAGTCGTTGTTGGCTTCTAATGACTATTGCAGTTCGTTTGCGCAGATTGTATTTCGTGCGCTGCTCATCTCAATATTTCTGGCGGGGCCTGCGCGACTCGAACGCTTCTCCGAGAGACAGATGCCCTTGCCCCGCCAGGGAAACGAAGGAGAGACGTCACTTGTAGATCGTGCACCCAAGCAACCTCGATGCGTTCGGAGTAGATCCGGTAGGGGTCGCCGGGACCAGGGGCGGGGCCGCGGGTGGCGCGGCGGCAGGGCTAGGGGGGTCGCGTGAGGACGGAGCCGCGCAGCGTGCAATTTCGTGGTGGCGGGGCCCCTGCGGCCCCCCGCTCCCGCCCCCCAATCGCCCCGGGGCGAAGCGAGGGCCCGGGGGTCCAGCCCCCTTCGGGCAAAGCGCGTGGTCCAGGGCTCGCGTCGCCCTCAGCCCCCCCCCCCCCCCCCCCCCCCCCCCCCGAGATTCGGTCTCTTTGCAACCAGAACGACCACTTTACAACCAGATGGGTTACTTTACAACCAACATAGGATTGGAAAGTATGGTTTTTCATCGAGAACGTCCACTTTGCAACCAGAACGGCCCACTTTACAACCAGAACGGACCACTTTTACAACCAGAACGGGCCACTTTACAACCAGAACGGACCACTTTACAACCAGCTCAGAGTGGCCGTGCGTGTTTGGGCGTTCCGCAAAGTTCTCCAGAGCAAGTGGGCGATCTGAAAAATGCCCCAGAGCAAGTGGGCGCTCTGAAAAATGCTCCAGAGCAAATGGGCGCTCTCAAAAGTGCCCCAGGGCGCGCGGACGCTCTGAAAAGTGATCCAGGGCACGTGGGCGCTCTGGAGCCCGAGCGCCTGAACTCTCTGCGCAGGCCCCAGCGATGCCTCTGAGCCCGAGCGCCTGAACGCCGCGCGCAGGCCCCAGCGATGCCTCTGAGCCCGAGGACCTGGACGCTCTGCGCAGGCCCCGGCGATGCCTCTGGGCCCGAGGACCTGGGCGCTCTGCGCAGGCCCCAGCGATGCCTCTGAGCCCGAGGACCTGGACGCTCTGAGCAGGCCGCAGCGATGCCTCTGAGCCCGAGCGCCTGGACGCTCTGGCGCTCTGAGCCCAGCAGACTAAGACAGGGCTTGCTAGCAGGGGCCAAGCGGCCTCAACAAGGGCCCCGTGCTCGCACGGGAATAAGGCGACAGCGTACGTAGGAAGGCTCAGGGCGACGCGCTGCCCATTTTAGGGATCACTCACGGGAAGCGAGCCCAGTGGCCTCCACAGGGGCCCAGCGCTCCAGGGAACTAGGCCATTGGCACCGCGGGTCTCTCGGGCCACGTTGGCCCCTGAAGCCCCACGGTGTTCTGCAAGGGGCTAAGTGATCCAGCTCCAGTTGGCCCCCTGCTGCCCCTCGTCTTGGAAGAGGTTCAACGTTCAGAATAAATGCAACTATTTCGAAGATCGTTCCTTCCAGCGTCGGCCACAGTGCCAGCGCAGCAACGCAGGTATCCTGCTCGGGCAGCAGCCTCAGCCACCGTGCCAGCGCAGCAGCTTGAGCCATCGTGACAGCGCATCACCGCCACCTTTGCGCCTGCTACCACCACACTTACCGCTGCAGCCCAGCTACCTCCACAATTCCGACGGACCCCCCGCTACTACCGCAAATCCCATTGCAGCCCAGCTACCACCACAGTTCCCACCGCTGCCTGGCGACCACCACAGTTGCCACCGCAGCTTCCCAACACCATGCAGTTCCCATTGTAGCCCCCGCTACCACCACATCTCCCACTACAGCTTTCCACTGCCATGCAGCTCCAGTCTTGGATGGGATCATGGTTTATTCGTATGTCCTGCGCGACTAGCCTTCGCCCGTCAGAAAAAGGCAGAGCAAGCAATGGCAGAACTGACCGACAGAGCTTAGAGAGCAGGTCAAAACTCTCATCCGCCCACCAGCACGCAACATACCATAGCGCACCA